ATATCTTCTGTCCTCTACATGCACAGTGGTATGAGAGCTCCATATATGCACGCGCACCACATACAAAAACAGAGAGAGAGACAGGGAGAGGAGAGAGAGAGAGAGAGAGAGAGAGAGAGAGAGAGAGAGAGAAAGAGAGAGAGAATGAAGTCTAAGGAGCATGTTGTAATCTCCCAAACAAACTAGAAATTACTTAAGCATTCTGGCAATCCAAATCATTTGGGAAAATAGAATAATTTTAAACCCTGAGTAACAAAGGAAAGTCAAAAAGGGAGAAAGAGGAATATAGACAGAGCGGACAAATAAATCCAAATAGGAAGACAAAGGGATGCAGGTGGGTTGATAAAATGCGGGGAAACTCAGAAAGCTCCCGGTGGGAAAAACGAGTTGTTTGTGTGGGACTAATGTGTCCCACAGAAAACTTTTGAAAACATAGATTAAAATTTTTAAATTGCTTTGAATACATTTAAAGATGGTAAAAAAAAATTAAAATTAAAAATTGGCAGACCCTGAAGGAAGCTGGGTCCCTGAAGAAGGAATTCATGCTGGCGGGAGCTACATGATTTTCTCCCCTACCAACTAACCAGTGTCCATCAGTCATGGTCCCTTGAATTCATCCACAACTATAGAAAAGTGTGACCATGAAGGTATCACATGATAAAAACTGAAGGCAGTTGGAGTGGTAGGAATGTAGGTTTAGGGGTTATCTCAGAAAAAAAAAAAATGAAAAAGGAAGAGCCAGAAGACCTGTAGAGAAGGCGGCTAGACTTATCTCCTGGCTGGGTGCTCAGTTGTTTGTGCTCAGGGACACCCCAGGACCTCACAGGGGAATCAGCCTACGTGACAGGTCAGGGATGTCATCTGTGGACTACTGCAAGGAACCATTTTGAAGTTTATAGTCAAAGAAAACAGACTCGGCCATAGCCAGACTGGCACCAGTGCCACTCACTCCTCCAGCTTTGTCCCCTTCAAGTACCTGTGGCCAAGAAAGATTCATGTTCAAAATAAGAACAACCATACTCAACCATCAGGGGCATAGACTCAAGTCTATACAGGTTCAGACAAGGTGGAGGACTTAGTGTTTGCTACTAGAGACATTGTTACAGATACACAGCAATAAAGTCTAGCAGGCTTTCTGCAGATGTTTCAAAAGTAAAATATCCAACCACTCCAGTATTTATGAAAACCTTTGCCTGTGTAGAGAACTGTTTCTGCATAGCCATAGAAGCCTTCCCATGCTTCAAATAATTCCTATGTTCACAAAATGATGAAAAGGTTGAAATGGACAGTGTGAGGCTGCAGAAATGGCTCAGCTGGTAAAGTGTTCACCATAACAGGAGATGCACATGCATCCCAGAACCCATGTAAAAATCCCAGCATGGTAGCACACACCTTAAAGCAAGTCCTGGGAAGGATGAGACAAGAGGATCCCTGATTCTTCCTGGCCACTCAGGCTAGTCAAGGAGGCAAGCTCCAGGTTTAGTGAGAGACCTTGTCCAAAAAATAAAACAGAGATCGGAGAAAGAAACCAAACATTGACTTCTGGTATCCACATGCACAAACAGATGCACATGAAGAGAGAGAGAGAAAGAGAGAGAGAGAGAGAGAGAGAGAGAGAGAGAGAGAGATTATTTGTAGGATATATTCATAAAATGAAGCCCTGTTCAATAATGAAAAGGAACAGAGAACTGGCAAATGCCGCAATGATGACGGATTCTCAAAAGCAGTTCACTAAAGAGTATTTTACAGGCTGAGTGCTTGGGCACACTCTTAATTTTATCGCTTAGGTGGCAAAGGCAGATGGGTCTCTGTGGGTTTGAGGTCAGCCTGGTCTACATAGCAAGTTCCATGCTAACCAGTACTATATAGTGAGACAGTTTGTCTCAAAACACAAACAAAAAGGGACTGGAGAGATGGCTCAACAGTTAAGAGCACTGATTGATCTTCCAGAGAACCCAGGTTTGTATTTCAGAACCCAGAAAGTAGCTATCTGTAACTCCAATTCCAGAGGATCCAACACATTGCTCTGGGCTCTATGACTACTGCATACACATGGTACCCAGACTACCAGGGACACACACACACACCACACACACAAGTATATCATGCTAGTGTTGCGTGCAGTAGCTACACAGATGAAAATGTTATCTCAGCATTCTTAGAACTGTGTATTTGATGCATGTATGTTTATTATATGTCAATTACACCCTACTGAAATGTTATAGCTTTTTTAACCAGGGCAGTGTGTAAACACTAAGTTGGAAATACCGCTTTACCAGGCAGTGATAGTAACAGCACAAATAAAAAAAAAAAAAAAAAAAAAAGACACTGACTTCCAGGTAAAGACAAACAGCCTTCACTACCAGGTGTAGCAAGAGGAAGTGGGTAGCCAAACAGCAGCAATTGCAACAAGAAAATACAGTTTCTCCTCTTGTAACTATCCACTTAGATTCTCCCCTTGAGCGCATGTGGACCCTCCCCTGAAATGAGCAGACAGAGTGAACCTCTCTTTTCACTAAGCCTCTTAAGTGATGTCCAGCTATGTCTCCAATTATGAATACCTACAAGAAATCATAGAAGACTACTAGAACATTACTTTAAGCCATTAGAACATCTTTATTAACTGGTCGGCTATTACACTGGGTGTTTGGGATCCCGCTGTAGCACCAAGCCTTTCTCAGGGTGAGCTTTTAGCACAAAAGCATATCCAGGGATGATATATTTCAGTCAATAAGAGCAGCTAATTAAATACCCAAGTAGTATCAAAGTATAGTTAAAGACTTTCCCAGAAATATAGACTTCAATAAATTAAGTCTTTGTTTTAGTTTTGCCAGCTGATGCTGTTTACTTGCTGAGTTTGGTGGCCAGAAAGGTACTTCTGTTGTGGGGTATTCACCAGAGAAGACTGTTCAGACACGGGTTTCAACCAATAGAAAGTGTTTACTAGCTAGCTGGCAACTACGTTGGGTGTTCATGATCCCAGTGTAGCACTGAGCCTTTCTCAGGGTGAGCTTTTAAACACACACACACACACACACACACACACACACACACACACACACGTGCGCATGCACAAATGTCCTGGGTTGACATTTTAGTTAACAAGAACAGTTAGCCAGAAGCAGAGCTACAGAAGCTAAAAAGCATGGTTAGTACATTTTGGCACTTTCCTAAACTGTATAGATTTTGATGGATTAGGTCTCTGTTTTCATTTTGGCTGGTAATACTTTCTACATGCTGAGTTTTATAGCCTGAATGGCACTTCCATCATGGAGTCAGTTGGGCTAAGGTCTGGGGCCCTGCTACATTCCTTCCCCACTGGTCTTTGTGAATGAGTCAAACCATGGATTCATTCTCTTGTAGTTTAAGAAGCAGGGCTCGCTGTTAATCGAATTAGAATGAGAATTAGAGCCCCTGTCAGTGCTGACAGGAGAACAGTTAGCCAGGGTGATCAAGAAAACAGATTGGTTCCAATTATCTGACTTATGTCTCTGTCTCTTTCTCTTCTTGAGTTTCTTTTGCTAACCGTGGCCTGTAGTGATATCTCATTTGTGTTTTAATAAATAAAGCTTGCCTAAAGATCAGAGAGTAAAACAGCCGCCCTGGTCAGCGTTACAGACCAGGCAGTGGTAACACACACCTTTAACCCCAGAAGCCACACTAGTTTGCCATAGAAACTGGGCAGTAGTGGTGTACGCCTTTAATCCCAGCACTAGAGAGAAATAAAGATAGGAGGAGACAGCTCTCACCCACAGTCTCATAATGAGGCCCAATAAAACCTAATTCCAATGGATCCATAGTCCAGAAGAAAGTCCATTTGACAGCAGTGTCTGTGGCTACCACCTAGGCATGGTAGATCCGTGGTGCAATGCCAGCCACCTTCATCACCATGGGAGTAGAGAGAAGTGCATTGGAGGGTCCTCTTCAGATTAGTTCCAGGGCCCTTTTAGCTACTCACTTGGCCCCGACTGTATCATTAGACAGGAACAAGGGAAGACTTGTGGTGGATTTGGAGGTCAGCTGGGTCTCTCCCAGACACTTTATGAAGTACTGGGGGGCCTGTAGGGACTTGAGAGAGAAACCGTTAGAGAGTTCTGCCACCTGCTCTTCTCTAAGCCTGGAAAGCAGTGGGGGAGCTCTTCCAAACATAATTTCACAGGGGGTAAATACCTCCTACATGGAGGAGCGCAGCCAGCCAAAGCAAAGAAAGGAGGCCTACCCATCCTTTATTGGACTCCAATGAGAGTTTGTTTGAGTTTTGTTAAGGTCTTGTTTATTCTTTTTACCAGGACAGAACTCTGAAGTCTATTTACACAATGAAGTTGTTAATCTATGTCTAATACTTTAGCTATTAACTGAGAGATTTGGGCTATGAAAGCCAAGTCATTGTAAGACCCCATTGCTAGGGGAAAGCCAAATCAGGGGACCAGTTCCCCACTTATAGGAACCTTTAAGTTACTATAGGAGCAGTTTCAGACTGGGTAGGGAATGCTTCTTCCCACATGAAAAGGGTATCTATAAAAACTAGCAAGTTCATTCATCCTCCCCCAGAAGGCCATTTTTTCCAGTCAGTTTTCCTAGAGTTCACTGAGATACTGGTCCCTCATTCTGAAGCTTTCCTGGGTAAGAGCTGTCTGTTTTAGAATTACTGGAGCACAAACCTAGCATCTGGCTGAGACAACCCATGCCAGGCTGTCCAGTCTAGGTATAACATACCTTGGTCTGAGCAACTCAGAAAGCTTTGTGGACCCCAGAGGAGTATCCTGGTGAAGGTCAGTTACCAGAGTCCTGCCAGTTGTTTCTGGAAGAACAATCTTCCTCTTTGGTGTCCTCCATCAACGTGTGGGTTTGAGCTGTCCTTCCTTTCTTCCTTCCTTCATTTCTTCCTTCCTTCATTTATTTATTTATTTATTATTTGTTTATTTATTTATGTATTTATTTATTTATTTATTTTACCTTGACCATAGAGTCTCAAGTAGTACCGGGTCAAGGTGTGTCATGAAAATATCAATGGGCTCCATTGGCCATTTGTCAGGCAGTCAGATCAGCAGCTAGCAGTGGAGGCTAGCAAATTCTAGGGGAAGCCAAATAGTCTCAAGGAGAGCCGAGAGTTTTCAATGTTCTTTCCTCAACGGTGAGAAGCCCTCTTTCCATGGATCACATCGTGGACACAGCAGGCAGTAAAAGTACGTCTATGGTGGTGGACTTTCCTCTTCCCCATCTGAGAGCCTGGGCCAGATCAATCAGTTCTACTCTCTGGACTGAGATACCTGGCTTGGGCTCAAATCGCTTCGGGTAAAGTATCTATTGCAGCTCCCAAGCACCAGTTTCATTTTTCACCTCATGACTGTCATGGATGAGCACCCGGGTCATCAGGCAAAAGGGCAGCTGAATTGACAGTGGTTGGTGGGTTTCTCAAACCAAACTCGAGGGTAGTCAGTAGACAGCCAGCATTCGGATGCTCCTCGGAAAAGGACCTCAACCACATTGTGGGGTGCTGTGAGTAGAAGATCTTGACCTAGAGTTCAATTTCTCTCATTAAACTAGCTGTTGCCTACATAGATCTTAGACAGGTAAGCCATCCTGTGGCGACAGGGTCCAGTAGTTTGGACAGGTATATCATAGGGCATTTCCATGGCCTCAAAGTTTGGGTTAAAAACCTCTTTTGTCTTTTGTTTAGTCTCAGTCCAGATTAGGGGCTTAGTTGTCCCCCACCTCCTCCTCCTGTGCTGGTTGGTGTATGGAGAGGCCTTTGCTAGTTCCACAAACTCTGGCTTTCTGAGGCAATGCTATCCAGCTGCACTTAGGAACTCTGACCCTGTCTCTTCTCCTTTGGGGATGGGATCTGAAGGATGGCAGCAATCCTACTCTGGGACAACCTCTTTGCCTGATGCAACTGGTAGCCAAGATAGGAAGCCTATGATGTACAAAGTTGGGCTTTCTTAGTTGGCATTCGGTAGTCCAAGGTCTCCAGCTCTGGCAGCATTCCCTCAGTGGCCTTTTTATAATCTCTTTTTCCAGAAAATCTCCGACAGAAGGGCCAGAAGTCGGCATTTAGTGCATTTAAATCCTGAGGCAACCAGATCCAGAAATACTGCTCACTGTAACCCCTTCTGAGTCTGTCCATTTAAAAGCAAAGATAGGTTGACTCTGTCAATGGGAGACTGGAAAAAGCATTTTTCAGGTCCAAGACAGTGTACACCTGTTTCTCTGGAAGAATCAGACTCATAAGAATCAGAGGTCCCTTTACAGGCAGAAGAGGTAATTTCCAGGGTGACTGGGATTCTCCAAGTCAGAGAATATGGACTGCAATTTCCCTTCTTGTTTCCACGGTCATTGGGTATTGTTTAACCTGGATGGGGGTAATTGAACTGGTTAGTTGAACAAACATAGGTGCTTTGTGTTGGGCCAGTCCTGGAAGATTGGCTTCTACCCATACCTCTGCTAATCTTCGCTGTCAATCTGAGAGATGGTCCAAGTGTATGTTTTGATTGGAAGCAGAGCTTTCAGCTAGGAGATATTCTTCTGACAGATTGCAAGACCCCAGAATTCATCTGTAAGTCTAACTTTGTCTCATCATCAAAGAAGGCGATAGTGGCTTTCCATTTATGCAAAAGGTCTTGTCCCAACACCCTTTGAGCTACTTCCAACAACTGGAATTTAAATTTTTTAATTTTTAAAACTTTTTCTAATATCTGGGGCTGATTGGGAGACAAAAGAAATATTTTTAGTAGCTGTCTTTAATCTTTCTTTAAAAGTAAATAGTTTAAAGTCTCCATGGTCAGTGTGGCACAGAAGGGAAAATCTATTCTGTCCAGGCTGTGTTGCCTGGAAGCAATCCCCCTTTTTTACCACCTGCTTTTGCCCAAAATCTTCTCCAAAGTAGATTGGTACTGCCAGAAGCAGGCATATCTCATTGTTATTTTTTTTAAAAAAGAACCTTATGTTATTAAAACATCTTAAATGCCACATTCTGTATATCTCTAAAGAATTTGAAGATGACCTGTCTATCTAAACGATATATGGTTTTATGTTGAAAACATACTTAATATAATTATAAATTCGATTGTAATATTGGACTCTAGTGTCCAAACACCGAGGAGGAGTCACCCCCAGAGACCACCTCATACACCACAGCCGATGCAAAAGCATGAGGATTTTATTAATTCTGTCATGACAGGGTCTGTCAGCATTCGGGAAGCCGAGAGACCTCGAATAGCTGGTACAGTCTACTTTTAAAGGGGCCACAGAAGCAAGGGGGGTTGTTCTTTGACTATTCTAATTGGCTTATTTGAAAGGGCTATTACCAATAATTGACTGGAGAGCTGTTGTCGGATCAGATGAGGTAAGAGGTCATTTTGACCCTGTTTCCCAGGGGACTGAATCAAAACATACGTATATGGGTAATTGTTCAGGAACTGAGTACGTGCATGTGTGGCTGTTAGTCCTTGGTTCCCAGGGGAGGAGGGGAAGCACTATGGCACAGAGGCTGAGAGGATTCAGAATTGTCAAAAATGGCTTCAGGATTGTCTTAAAGTCTTACAGTAATAGGTGACTAATTACTAACCTGCATTTTCTTACTATCCTAAATGTTGAAATAATAACTTTCAAGGACTAGAAGTTTGTCTAATGGCATTGTTAATTGTTAAATGAGCTGTATAGGTACAATACCTTGAACAAAATTAGTAATGTATGTACTGTATGTTCTAACGAATCTTAATTTGTATCAATATACAAAATCCATATCAATATAAAATATTGAAAACTAATAGTTGCTTTTTGGGGATAAAAGTAGATTCAATAATCTACCTTTTATCAGTAGGCAAATTTATTCTTGGAGTATTTTTTCTGGATGATTTGTCCTTTTTCTTCAGATGTCTCATTTGCCCAGTGGTCTTCAGACTCCCTAGCTGGATGCCTTTATTCTCCTGAAAACACAGAAACAAAACCCTTTCCCAACCCTAATTTCAGGGAGATTCCCTTTTTGGTAAGCTATATCTGATCAAATGAAAAACATTTGTTAGTTTTGTAGGTTAGTTTAGATTGAACAACCATGTTGTTTGATGAACTATCATTTCTTCTAAGTAAGAGGTCTCTATTGTTCAAATCAATTCTTTATCAGTTTTGATTTATAGGTTTTTTTTTCTGAAATTTTTGTTTTCTTTTCTAAAACTGTTTTATCATCAGGAACAGTATGGCTTTTATTATTTTGTTTTGTTTTGTTTACAATAGGCATTAAGTTCTTTAATTGTTCTGGGAAGGAGTTTCCTCTATGACAGGAAACAACTGAACTGAATTTGTCAAGATGTTTCCCAATGGCAAAGGGTTACCTTGACTGACCCTTGTTGATCTACAGTCATTAGTCCAATGCCTGCTCTTGTCACACCTTCTGCATAACCCAGAGGGGGAGCATTCTGTTTGGATTATGCCTAGAACAAACATTGCTACTTGGAATGCCATGTTTACAGTTCCTTTTTAGGTGACCTTGCTTACCAAACCTGAAACATTAGATACTATGATTTTTCTTCAAACCTCTGGAAATCACCTCTCCTATCCAAGCATTAGCATGGTCATTAGATTTAATATTGATTGTATCTTGTATCCATTCCTCCAAGGATGCTAATCTTGCATTTAACAGCCTGATTACTCTTTTTCATTGTTCCTTAGCATTTTCAAAAGCCAGAGATTCTATTATTATTTGTCTAGTTTCTGAATTTGGTATCATCATTCTATTTACTGCTGAAGTCAATCTTTGAAAGACATCAGTGAAGGTTCTTTTGGTCCCTGTATCATTTTAGAAAATGACTCAATTTTCTTTCGTACTTCTTCAACCCTGTCTCAAGCATCCAAAGCTGTTGCATGGATGTGGTTCATCATATAAAGATTGCCTTTCTACATGTCTCCAAGAAGTTGGTCTCAGGAGATTTTCATACCTGTAGCCCTACTTTATTGTTCAATGGTCACAAAGTCATCTTTCTACCAGGTTCTCCATTGTAATTGAGAGCCAGGCTCTAAGACTGCTGTAACCAAGTCTCTTTAGCCTCTAGAAATAATACTATTACAAATTGATCACAAGTTAAACGTCTACCTCATGAAAGGTGAGTGCATGTCATATGAATCTCCTTAGATCTACTATTTCAACATGATTCCAGTGACTGCTTAAACAATTTGGCAGTTCCTGTAAGGTAACTGTAAAAATTAAGAATGGTTACTTGAAAACCTTAGGCTGTTCCTCTCTAACTTCTAAAGCAACGTTAAAATTGGTTCTCCTTTAAATTCCTCCATCTGGATCTGAATATCTTTATGATCTGTTTGAATGAGTTTTTCCAAGGCCTATATCTTGGCACTCATATCAACCAACATTTTTATAGATAAGCCAAGAATTATAAAAGTAACAATAAAGATTATCAAAATGATAATTAACATATGTCAATCCTGGTTAAGTTGATTATCCTTTCGTTTAATTGTTCCATTTTTAAATCATGCATTGAGTAATCATACAGAGGCCTAACTCTCTCCACAATAATGTTTCCCACTTTTTAAAATGGGAAAAAAAAAAAAAAAAGCTCTCTGTTTTAACTAATTCCTCCCTTTAAGAATTCCCAATTGTCTCACTAAATCTGCTGCTGATGGCAATGAAGGCATGAGGCTGATTGCTGCTGCATAGAACAGTAGAAGCCTGAGCAGGTTTCAAGGCAGCAGCCCAAGAAGAGGGTTCAGGGAAAACCCATAACCCACTGAGAGAGAAGAAAGGAAAACCTAGCCCCAGGGCAGTGACTCCAGCTATATATAGCTCTAGCCTATGCCATTGGCTGCAAACTCGCAGGCAAGTGGCTTTTTCGTGAATTTGTGCCCCAAAAGTTGGACACCAGATGAAGCATGAATTCTAATTGGTCTTAATAATAAAAACCCAGTCAGATGCTAGGGGGTTAAAGCTAAAAGATCAGAGAAGCAGAGCAGCCAATCACTAGAGTTCTTACCTCTACGAAATCCTCAGACCAAAAGGGTCTATAGAGGACTTTTTTAGACCATCATTGCCAAATGCATTGTTAGAGGTGTAAACATTCGCTTTTTTGTTGTTTTTAAGTGGTTTTTTTCTATGAAACCTTGGCTCTGGGGATTGTAAGGAATCCTTGTGTGGTGGGTAATCTTTCATTGTGTGTAGAAGGCCTTGAATTGGGAACTGGTATAAAGGTGGAGCCATTATTAGTTTTTATTT